AAGCACAGAGCATGATGACTCTGGTCAGGTGACTTTCAGGGTGGCTCAGTTTTTCATTTTTAGTACAGATGGGGTCTCACTCTTCCTCAGGCTGGTCTGGATTTCGTGAGCCCAAGCAATCCACCCACCCCGGCCTCCTAAAGTGCTAGGATTACAGGCGTGAGCCACCATGCCTGGCCCAAAATAGAAAGTTTTTAAAAAATTCTTTCTCTTATTTGAAGTGGGAGCAGAGAGGGCTCTTCTAAAAAAAGACAACCCATTCACGGGATCCACAGCCTACCCTGAGCTGGGCACAGTGCCCAGCACTTCATGGGCACCTCTTGTCAGACGCACATCCATCCCCCTCAGGCATGGATGGCTGTTTCTCCTCTTACAGAGGAAGAATGAGGCTCTGAGACAGAAGCCACTGCCTGAGATTGTATGGTAAAAAAGTGACATGGCTGAAAGTGAGCAGGTTGTGTCCGCCCTCATGCCCTTCCCGCCTGTGCCTCTGTGCACAGCACGCACTTAATAAAGGCTGAAAGGGAACGGCAGCTGCACCGCTGAGAGAACAAGATCCCAGTACAAGCCCCTCAAGAGCAGCCAGACCTGCTGTGCTGACAGTCAGTGAGCTCCTGGGGAGGACAGAAGGATGTGAGGCAGAGCCGGTTCCTCTGGCAAAGAACCCCTCACTTCTGGCCCTGGGTGAGCCTTCCAATATGCTGCACCCTGAGGCCCTAAGGGTAGGCACCCTGGGCCTCAAGTGAGGTGGCAGTGCCCATCACTCATACTTTCCAGAAGTTCAGGCTACATCCTCCTCCTCCTAGTGAGGAGCCAGTCCCTTGGATAGGGGAAGGGACGCTGCTGAGGCTCCCACCCACTGGCCCTGCCCACAAGGATTCTCACGTTGGCCATCCCATGCTCCACTCACCCATCCTTGCACAGGGGAGTGTGCCCAGAGCGCTCCACACTCCCTTGTACCCCTCAGAACAGGCACTCTTTCTCTCCTGCTCTCTTCACTCCATTCTTCCAAGATCACAAACACACTTCATCCCTTTGCTTCAGCCGGCCTCAACAACGTAAGACTCCAACATCCTTGTGACTCCCAAAGCAGAACCCTCAGGCCTCCAAGCCCAGCCAAGCCTTGCTTCCTGCACACCTCCAAGTCTCTTCTGTCTACCCTGACACTACCCACCTTGTCACCTGCTACAACGGCTCCAGTACTGGAACTGACACTAACAGCTCATTCTAGAGCTCTCACCAATGACATAACTGGAGCCTCATAACCACTCTGGGAGGCAGCAACATCCCAAGAAAAATGCATCTCCATCACTAAAAATAGAGAAACTGAGGCTCAGGGAGGTGGAATAAGTGGCTGAGGTCACCCAGCTGTGGGGCTGCAGAGCTGGAATTCAATCTCATGACTACCTTCTCTTAAACCAGTGCTCAGAATTGTCAACTCCTCAACAACCTAAACAGCCTCAGCCAGTCTGGCATGGGATGACCCTCACCCCCCCAAATCCAAACACCCACACTTCAAGGGACACCTGCTCACAAGAGCCTCTTCTGAGAGGCTCATTCTTCAGAGAGCATTTCTCTGCTCAAATTTCTTTTCTTTCTTTCTTTTTTTTTTTAAACAGTTTTGTCACCCTCGGTACAGTGCTGTGGTATCATAGCTCACAGCAACCTCAAACTCTTGGGCTCAAGTGATTCTCATGCCTCAGTCTCCCAGGTAGCTGGGACTATAGGTGCCTACCACAATGCCCAGCTATTTTTAGAGACAGGCCCTCACTCTTGCTCAGGCTGGTGTCAAACCCATGAGTTCAGGCAATCTACCACCTTCCTTGGCCTCCTAGAATACTAGGATTACAGGCGTGAGCCACCATGCCTGGCCCACCTTAACTTTCTTAAGTCTAGGATAGTCTCTGTGTAGCCCACAGCCTGACACTACCCCTGCTCTGGGATCCATAAGAGTAACTTAATCAGAGAGGATAAGGATTTGGGGCTACCCCAGGCTGGTGGCAGTGAATGGCCCAGGTCACAAGAAGGCTCACACTCTGTGGTATGTAAGTAGAAGCAGAAACTCAGATGTTCAGACCTAGAAATTTCAGAAGTAATCCGAATTCATATTATTGATATGGAAACTAAGGGGCAGGAAAATTGTGACTTCTAGGGCCTAAAATCAGAGCCTCCCTTTTCAGGTATCATGATCTGCAACCAGCTCCCGCCATGCAATCCTAGAATTTAGAGGGATTTAGATCATTCACCTTCCTCACAGGGAGGGGCTCTGTTCTGTAAAAGCCCTGCAGATCAGTTGTCTAAACCCGGTTTGAGCACAATAATGGATAATAAAATCACCCCTTTCCCAGAGGGCAGCTCTGGTTGTTTCAAACCAGTTTTTATAATAAATGGGATCTGACTTTCCTGAAATTTCTACGTATTGATTCATTACTGCTCACTGGAACCAAAGAGAATCGTCAACTTGTCTATGCCTTTAAATGTTAGTTTTTGTTGTCGGCGTTCATGTTTTCTCCAAGGGTCTTCTACTTATACTAATGTGAACCAGCTGGACTTTTGTTAATTGTCTTGCTAAACTGTAAACACTAAGAAGGTCAGGTACAGTGGCTCAAGCAAAGACTCCCAGCACTCTGGAAGGCTGAGGTGAAAGGATCACTTAAAGTCAGGAATTCCAGACCAGCCTGGTCAATGCAGTGAGTCGTCTTTACCAAAAAATCTAGCCAAGCGTGGTAGTGCACACCTGTAGTCCCAGCTACTCTGGAGGATCGACTAAGCCAATAGTTTGAGGTTATGATTGCACAGTGACCTATGATTGCACCACTATACTTCAGCCTGAGAAAGGCTTTTTTTCTTTCAAAAAAAGAAAGAAAGAAAAGACTTAGCTCTTTCATCATTGTTATATATCCCACTCTTAGGGCTTGAGCTCCATCTAAATACACATTTTTGTAAAGTAAAAAAGATTAGACCTAAAGATCCCTAAAACCACCAGCAGCTGAGGCTGAGAGAGCTTTATATCAAGTGTTATACAGCCAGTGAATGGTAGGTACCACAGGGATTTCGATGGAGAAAGAGGCTCACAGAGGGGAAAGCTTCTGCCCAGAGTTACGCAGCAAGTGGGCAGAACTGTGACTGGAACTTAGTCTATATTTCAGTCCAATGCTTCATTTATCATGTTACCAAGCAAATCACAAACTAAAATATGCTAATGTAAATTCACAACTCAATCCTCCCTCCCACTGTTGACTCTCTTGCTTTGCTCTATTTTTTCCTCTTTTCCATAGCACTTATCACCTTCCAACACACTTTACATACTTTAGTAAGTTCCTAGAACATAAATGCCACTAAATCTTTTGTCTTTTTGCTCACTGATGTATTTCAAGCACCTACAACAGTGCCTGCTTCATATAGTAAACGCTTAGTAAATATCTCTCTATAAATAAATTGGTCCAACAAACATTTATTAAATGCTATCTATGGCTGAGCTATGAACTGTATCACTTTGCTGGATTCCAAATCCACCCAGACAGTAATGTTCCCCAAACCCTAAAATAAGACAGCATCTCATCTGGCTCCAGAAAGGAGCTAGCAAACCAACCCAAACCTATGTATTTCTTTTCTTTCTTTTTTGAGAGACAGAGTCTCACTATGTAGCCATCCGTAGAGTGCAGTGGCATCACAGCTCACAGAAACCTCATGCTCTTGGGCTTAAGCGATTCTCTTGCCTCAGCCTCCCAAGTAGCTGGGACTATAGGTGCCCACCACAACAGCTAGCTATTTGTTGTTGTTGTAGTTGTCACTGTTGTTTGGCAGGTACGGGCTGGGTTCAAACCCCCCAGCTCCGGTGTATGCGCCTGGTGCCCTAGCCACTGAACTCCAGGCGCTGAACCTATATATTTCTTTAAAACAACTAAAGTCCCTAATAAAAACATAAGACACATCTTTGAAATGCACAGAACCTATATTTCCTAGAAGCTTGCTCTGAGAGGCAGTCTCATTCCATTCCTAACAAAGCCCTGCCAAAGCTCAGAGAAGCTGCAGTCTCAACACAGTGGCCCACTGCTAGATTGACAGCTGCCACCTTTTCAGCATTACCTTTCTAAACAGTTCAATTAAGTATTCCACAGCACTGGTGGGCATCCTGGCCTTACAGAGTGAGGATGGGTACAGCTCATTTGTACCACACGCTCCTCCCTGGGACTTCAAATGAGGAAGGGGAGAGCCCAGAAAAGTCACTGGACCTTTTCTTAGTGGTGTCCAGTACTCCCTGGTGGAAAGGCTGCTCGGTGGCCAAATCAGAGCCACCTCAGAATGTGAAAGCTGCAAACATCAACTTCCAGGTTTGTGAGCAATTCCAAGGAGGCTTTCCATCAGCTGACAGGGACAAAGTGTCCAGGGAATGCCATGTGCATCTGGGTTTGGCTGAACCACTCTGCAGAGAGCAAGACTTCGAGACTTTTAACATATGGCTTTTAGCCAAAGACAAAAAAAGGCTGTTCCAAGAAGTTCTGAACCTAAGGCAGACAACAACAATCTCAGGGGAGACTGTTCCAGAGAAAAGGCATCCCAGAAATGCTGCCCTGCTTCAGAATGGTCTTCCAGAAGAGGGAACCAAACACAATCGCCATCAGCCCCTCCTTCTAGTAGCTGCAGCAGCGAACATTTACTGAACTACTGTGCCAAGTCCGGTGCCAAACATGCAGCCTGTGACTGATCCTTGCTCCACCCTTAGCTGTGTAGCTGAGGACGCCTATGCTCCTCCCCGCCTCAGCATCCTCATTTGTAAAATGAGAAACTAAATCTACCTCATATAGGATTGCTGGAAGAATTCATTGAGATAAGGCTTAGCCTAGCGCCTGCCACATAGTAAGTTCTTAACAAGAGGTACTCATTTCAAAGTAAAGAGTCTCATATTTAAAAAAAGGAAAACTATTATTTCAGGGGTTCCTGAAAGTCCTACAAGCCTACATTTATGCATGTAGTTATTTTTAAGCGTTTGCTAATACCCGTTTCTCAAAATAAACTTTATCCTCACAGCTTCTTTAGGGTAGAAAGGGCGGAGGGCAGAGCGATGGCCCTCCTGACAAAAGGAGGAAAACATGACCCGTGAAGATCCAGGGAGGCAGCCGGCAAGCCCCGAGGAGGAGCCCTCTGGCCTCAAACCCTCCTCGGTGGCTTCAAAACATCAGACGCGCCTCTGCTTGAGAAGAAGCTGGAGGCCTTTATTTGCGGGGCAGTCGGTGTTGGGACTAATTCACCACCGCAAAGAAGTGGTCATCTTTTGTTCCTAAAAAAAAAAAAAATGCATGTCAGGGCACAGAAGCTTGAGGAAATAAAAATCAGCGCCCAGAGACGACACGCGCATACTTTCAACGCCGGAATAGGCCCGGGCAGAAACAGGAGATGGGTGGCCCCCACGAGTCCCCGAAGACCTCCAAGTGGGGTGCCGGGATCGCAGAGGCACCTCCCGCCCCCGGCTCCGACTGGAGTAGGGGAGGGGGCGGCAGCGGCCAGGGGGTCCCGCTCTCCGCTCACCTGGCCGCGACGTCCAGCTCACCCACCAGGGCTAGGACCCACCGGTCCGCAGCTGGGCTGGGGTCGTCCCTGCCCGGAAAGGCCCGGCCCCCAGAAGCAGCCGGCCGCGGCCGGGAATTCACCTGCCGTCGCAACCGCGCCGCCGCCGCCTGTCAGTCAAGCGCCCCCTAGGCTGCGCAGCGCAGGGTTGTGGGGTCTGGCCGGCCGCGCCCCCTCCCCGACCGTCCAATCAGGAGAAGCTACGTCACGGGAGTGGAGGCCGTGACCACGCGGGCGTGCGTTTGCGATCAGGCCAAGCGGGGCTGGCGCTCTGACCGCACTGCGGCGCGCCGGAAGCAGCCTGGGCCGCAGTGCCGAGGGTCGGCGGCTGGTCCGTGGGTCCGGCGCCACTATGCCTGTCACTAGGAAGACTTTTCGTCGGCGCCGAGCGGACTCGGAGTCGGAGGAAGATGAGCAGGATTCAGAGGAGGTTCGGTGAGTTTGGTACGGGGCTTCCAGAGGCCAGGAACAGAGAGACTGGCTTGAGGGACTCACTGACTGGGGTTATTGTCTCTTTTGCGGGCAAAGAAATTGAGACTCCTGAGGGATGAGGCCGCCCCCTGTAAGACCACACAGTTGATAGAGATGCCCCCAGGCTGTGCGGTGGATCTGACTCCCAGTGGATCTAGGCGTAGGGTCGCCCTTTGCACCACTCTTCTGGCATCTCAGCAGCGAGTGGGGCAGGGATGCCCTCGAAGCTGCCTGTTGGTTCTGGGTTCCGCTGAGAGTCTCTCAACCTAGGTTTCGCCATTTTCTTTTTAGATTAAAACTGGAAGAGACCAGAGAGGTGCAGAACTTGAGGAAGAGGCCCAATGGGGTGAGGTGGGTACCGCGGAGGAAGGGTGAGGAGGAGGAAGCGGGGATGACAGACACGCCCCCGCCCAGGTCCTTGTCACAAATATCTTCTCAGACGTAGCTGCTTCTGTATGCCGGTACTGCCCAAAGAGGGGACCTGCGTTCTTTGCAAATGTTTAACAAGGACATGCCCCCAGCCATGTGGTTTTAGGGTATGCTCTAGAGGTACAGAAATAGGTCACTACTCGTATTCTTCTTGCATCCTATTAACTGTGAAATGCACGTTGATCCGTAAGAGTTTGAAAATTTTAGAAAGGTGCAATTAAGAAAATGAACAGGCTCAGCGCCTGTGGCTCAAACGGCTAAGGCGCCACCAGCCACATACACCTGAGCTGACGGGTTCGAATCCAGCCCGGGCCCGCCAAACAATGACAGCTGCAACCAAAAAATAGCCAGGTAGCCGGGCGTTGTGGCGGGCACCTGTAGTCCCAGCTACTTGGGAGGCGGAGGCAGGAGAATCGCTTGAGCCCAGGAGTTGGAGGTTGCTGTGAGCTGTGATGCCATGACACTCTACCCAGGGAGACAGTTTGAGGCTCTGTCTCGAAAAGAAAAGAAAATGAATGGCACCCATAATTCTCCCATCCAGAGATAACCAGTGTTAACATTAAATATTCTTCCAATCTGTTTCCTCCCTCCCTCTCTCCTTCTTTTGTAAAGATTGTGAGCGACTTTATATGTACTTTATTCCTTGCTATTTTCAACTTACTATGATATTATGGGCATTTACCCATACCGTGGCTTTTTTTATCCTTCTATCTAACAAGGATGGCCTTGTAGTAAAATTCCACCAGATATATGTAATAATTTGTTAACAAACCATTAATTTGTTAACAAATCCCCTATTTTGGGACATGTAGGTCATGTAGGACATGTAGGCCATAATTTGTTAACAAATCTCCTATTTTGGGACATGTAGGTCATTTTATGAATTTTAACCACCAAGGCTGCAGTAGATATTCTTTTACATTTGTCTTCAGCTGCATTTCCCCTGAATGCAAAATCTTAGATATGATATTTCCAGACCAATATAATGCCAAATAGCTTTGCAGGAAAGTGTATCACTTCACTCACCACCATCCCCTTCTCCACCCCCAACATTTACAGTGTTTATTGAGCCCTGTTTCATTCCAATGGACTTTTCCAGCTGGCTTTCTTGCCTACCCCTCACAACTCTCCCCCTTACAATAATGTTTCGATCTACAGACTTCCTGAGTGTTCCTCCTCATCTCTGAATTGTGCCATTTTTCTCTCCCTTCCCTCCTTTTTTTGGTTTTGCTCAGTGCTGTGGCCCTGCTGGTGGGAGAGAAGATACAAGAAGAGACCACTTTAGTAGTAAGTTATGGAGTCTTCTCGGGCAGTTACAGGAGTTCATCCTGTGGCTGGTCTCCATTTGGGTGATTGTGCTTTAAAAAAAAAAATCCACTGCCATTTGTATATATGCTTCCTCTAAGCTGTGTTTGTTTTCTGCAGGATGATCCCTTTCAAATGAAGACAGGTGGTATGGTGGATATGAAGAAATTGAAGGAAAGGGGCAAAGATAAGTAAGTGCAGAACAGGCAGAGATGCAAACTCACCTTTATCCTTGCCCCAGTCTCTTTGCCCTCCGAGAGCAGGGGTCTGCTGCAGCAACTTTAATGGGCTATCTTCAGGTAGCCTTTGTGTTTTGTAAAGAGTATCTTAATTAAAAACAAAAGAAGATGAAAACTCTTTTAAAGTTAGCTTAGAGCTGAGTAAGTAGAGTCCTTCTGTATTGTCTTACAAACTCATGTGTAAGTTTTGTATAAAAACACAATTACAAAAAGTTTAAAATATAAAAATATAGTCAGCCTTCCATATCCACTGGTATTTCATTTGTGGATTCAACCAAATACAGATAGAAAATATGTGGCCCAGGCGCTGTGGCTCATGCCTGTAATCCTAGCACTCTGGGAGGCCGAGGCAGGTGGATTGCCTGAGCTCACGGGTTCAAGACCACCCTGAGCTAGAGCAAGACCCTTTTTCTAAAAATAATAGTCCCTGGCTCGGTGCCTATAGCTCAGCGGCTTGGGTGCCAGCCATGTGCACCAGAGCTGGTGAGTTCAAATCCAGCCGAGGACTGCCAAACAACAATGACAACTACAACCAAAAAATGGCTGGGCATTGTGGCAGGTGCCTGTAGTGCCAGCTACTTGGGAGGCTGAGGCAAGATAATTGCTTAAGCCCAAGAGTTGGAGGTTGCTGTGAGCTGTGATACCATAGCGCTCTACTCAAGATGACAGCTTGAGACTCTGTCTCAAAAAATATAAATAAATAAATAAAAATCGTACTCCCAGCCACTCAGGAGGCTGATGCAAGAGAATCACTTGTGCCCAAGAGTTTGAGGTTGCTGTGAGCTATGGTACCACAGCACTCTACCGAGGGTGACAAAGTGGGACTCTGTCTCACTAAAAATAAAAAGAAAACATTCATAGAAAATTAAAAATAACTTGGTTTGATGCCTGTAGCACAGTGGTTACAGTGCCAGCCACATACACTGAGGCTGGCTGGTTCAAACCTGGCCTGGGCCGGCTAACCAGTGACAACTTCAACAAAAAATAGCCAGGCATTGTGGTGGGGACACCTGTAGTCCCAGCTCTTAGAAGGCTGAAGCAAGAGAATCACTTAAGCCTAAGATTTTGAGGTTGCTGTGAGCTGTGACACGGAACTCTACTGAGAGTAACATAGTAAGATTCTGTCTCAAAAAAAAAAAAATTAAAAATAACAATATGATAGTAAAAAAATATTACAAATTAAGGACTACAGTACAATAACTATTTACAGAGCATTTACATTTACATTGTATTAGGTATTATAGGTAGCCTAGAGATGATTTAACTGTATGGCAGGATGTACACATGTTATATCCAAATACACCATGTACACCATGTACATCTTTTTTTTTTTTTTTAATGCCAGCACTCTCTTTTTTATTTTTTCCTGCAGTTTTTGGCCAGGGCTAGGTTTGAACCCACCACCTCCGGTATATGGGGCTGGCGCCCTACTCTGTTGAGCCACAGGCGTCGCGCGTATATCATTTTATATAAAGGACTTGAACAGCCATGGAGTTTGGCACCTTTAAGTAGTCCTGGAGCAGATACCAAGAGACAGCTTTAGCCACTCATTCCTCAGAAGTGTCATTGGAGGCCAACACTTTGTTTGCATATATTTCTAGTTTCTTCTATTTACATATTGTACTATATTGTATATTTTCTCCCAAGCATCAACAGGATATTATAGTTTTTTGTTGTGTCCTTGTTTTTTCCTTAGAAAATAAAACCCAGCCCCCCTGAGTTGTGACTTGAAAGCTCTGCCCCATTGTTCTCTTCCTTCAGGATCAGTGAAGAGGAAGACCTTCACCTGGGGACTTCATTTTCTGCAGAAACCAACCGAAGAGATGAGGATGCAGATATGTAAGTGTGAGTCTGTTTGGCCTTGAGTGATTTGGAGCTGGAGAGTCCAAAATGTTTAGTCACAGATGACATTTCTAAAATTTTCTAAAAGGTGTCAGAGTTGGCCCCTCTCTCCCTATCTCCCAGGCCTGAGAACTTTGAAAACCTCTTAAAAGTTCTTTAAAAGTGGCCAAGCATGGTGGCTCACACCTATAATCCCAGAACTTTAGGAGACTGAGGTGGGAGGATTACTTGAACCTAGGAGTTCAAGATCAGTCTGAGCAACATAACGAGACTCTGTCTCCAAAAAACAAACGAACAAAGTGAGTTCTGTAAAAGAGTAGTTCTTGGGATTTTAGGTTCCATGGCTAGTTCCATTTCCCCTAAACATTGTAGGCATAAACATGGACTTGGCTTACTTCTTATTTTGACTACAAGGCTGTTAAACAGCTACCATCTTTCTGTCTTCAAAGAAGCTTATAACACCAATAGATAAGTAGGACATAATCTTATAGGTTGGTGTTTTAAGTTGAAAATTTCTAACTTAATGAAAAAATTTAAGTTGTTTTCATTTTTCTCACTTCTTCATGGACCGTCACCTGTCTCTGAGCCAGTGTCAGGGACCACTGATTTGGAAGGCATCTGTTGTGAGCTTCCTGCTCCTCCCTGAGACCTATGGGTTTCTCATTCCAGGATGAAGTACATTGAGACAGAGCTGAAGAAGAGGAAAGGGATTGTGGAACATGAGGAACAGAAGGTCAAACCAAAGAATGCAGAGGACTGTCTTTATGAACTTCCAGAAAATATCCGTGTTTCTTCAGCAAAGAAGACTGAGGAGATGCTTTCCAACCAGATGCTGAGTGGTATCCCTGAAGTGGACCTTGG